AAGCAGAAACCCTGTTATCATAAATCCAGTTATGTACGCATCTTCTACATCCTCAACGGACAAGCACACGATCTTCCATTGCCCGCAGGAATCCATTGTGTATCCAGCTGCAAGTGTCCCGTCAGGGCAAGAGGGCTCTCCTTCGCCCTGTCTTCTCGTTAAGAAAATTTTATCAATTGCGTTGAGAGACCAGCTGACCAGATCCATAATTTACAATTCGGAAGATATGTAAAGAGAGACTCCGATAGGGTTCACAGGACAAGAGCACAGCAGGAGGGAAGCAGGAACAGGAGGGATAAGCATTCGCCTCCATTGAGAGCAAGCAGGAAAAAAAAAATCATGGACTTCTCAGAGAAAGACCTGAATTCCTTGTGGACTTCCTCAGCTGTCTCACCGCCTTCCAACCACTTGCCTGCCACACCTGTGACACCCTCCCCCTTCGTGCTGGAATTCTTGTAGACCTTATTTCTTGTTTTGTCTCACATCAACTGTAAAGAATGCAATCGCATTAATCTAAATCTCTTGGAACGCCATCATTCTGACCTCTCTCTTTGTTCCCCAGATTTCCAGAGAATCCATTGTACATTTGGTATTTTGCACTGTAAATAAAATACTTTTAACTTTTCTACGTTTCAAGTCTCTCACTGAAGTACATAGTTTCTGGGTTCCTAGTGTTTGTTATACCAGCGTCCACCAAGGTCATCCTGTGAACTGGACGTTGGCTTGGATTAATGATCGAAGAACTGTCACCCCGCTACTCTCCAGCTTTGATTACTCACCTCCTGCACCAAGAACCATGAAACCCTTAGAACCTCTGGCTCTCCTCTCCAAACCTGCCAAACAATGAGTTGAAGATGATTCTCTATCAATTATCATCCTATCCTGTTCATACTATACCTCACTCCCTTTCAGAAACTACCATGAACACTCGCAAATAAAGTCACTTACCTTTAATGTGTGAATCTTCTGCCATCAGGTCAGAAGTCTGAATATTCCTCAAACATGACATGTTCACACAGGAACCGTGTCTTTCTAAAACAATAGTTTTTATTTGTATATTTTAAAATGCATGATGCATTATTGTAAACACAGCACAATTTTCATAAAAGTTTTCATCCACACAGCAATACAGAAAACGCCTGAATTGCTGTGCAGATGATATATCGATACAGTAGGCCTGTAGATGGAAAATACAGAAACAAAAAACGTATTTTTTTGTGGATCGTTTCCGTTTGACTGGGAGATGTGTCGGTTCAAATATATGGACAAGATGGATGATTTCAGGCTCAGTAACCTGCGAAGGATGGTTTCCTTACAATGACCAAAATCAGGATAAATTCACACACACACACGTTGGTCTTTTATTCTATAATTTTATGTTTTTAAATATGGTAGTTTGCTTCTGCAGTATTTGCTTTGGTATTAATGTTTAGTATTGTTTAATAAAGTGTTGAATCTGTGTTGTTCTTGGAGTATTAGATGTAATAATAAGGGGTTTACATTGTTGTTGCTGTTTTTGTTCATCAATAATCTGATTTTTAAAGAGAAACAGGAAATGAAAGTGAGTATGGGATTGGGGGCTTGTTGCTATGGGCTGTTTGGTTCCTATACAGGCGGTGCGAGAATTTGGTTTGCATTGCCGGCAGAAAGTTGGACACCTTTAGGGTGGGAGTTGGACTCCACCAGGGCTGCTCATTGTCACCGATTTTGTTCATAACTTTTATGGACAGAATTTCTCAGTGCAGCCAGGGGGTGGAGGGAGTCCGGTTCGGTGGCCTCAGGATTCATCTCTGCTCTTTGCAGATGATGTGGTCCTGTTGGCATCATTGTGCCGTGATCTTCAGCTTTCAATGGAGCGGTTCACAGCCGAGTGTGAAGCAACTGAGATGAGGTTCAGCACCTCCAAATCTGAGACCATGGTCCTCAGTCGGAAAAGGGTGCATTGCTTTCTTCAGGTCGAGGGTGAGGTTCTGCCTCAAGTGGAGGAGTTCAAGTATCTCGGAGTTTTGTTCACGAGTGAGGGAAGTATATGGCGCATGAGACTGACAGACGGATTGGTGCAGCATCTGCAGTATTGTGGACTCTGTGCCGGTTTGTTGTGGTGAAGAGGGAGCTGAGCTGTAAGGCAAAGCTCTCTGTTTACCGGTCAGTCTACGTTCCTCCCCTCACCTCTGGTCATGAACTCTGGGTAGAGACTGAAAGAATGAGATCGTAGATACAGAAGGTTGAAATTAGTTTCCTCTGCAGGGTAGCTGGACTCTCCCTTAGAGATAAGGTGAGAAGTTCAAACATCCAGGAGAGACTCGGAGTAGAATCACTTCTCCACATCGAGAGGAGCCAGTTGAGGTGGTTCGGGCATCTGGTAGGGATGTTCCCTGGGCGCCTCCCTAGAGAGGTGCTTTGGGCATGTCGGAAGACCCAGGACACGCTGGAGAGAATACATCTCTCGGTTGGGAACGCATTGGGATCCTCCCAGAAGAGCTGGCTGTGGAAAGGGATGTCTAGACCTACCTGCTCAAGCTGCACCACCCGAGACCTGACTTCAGATCAAGCAGAAGATAATGGATGAATAGATGGAAATGAAAGTTTTACTGCAGTCTGTAACTCAAACACAAGCAGATGATGTCATTGTTGTTACATCTGTGATGCTTGGGCTCATAAATTAGATTAGTGAAACTACGATGTCACGTTTGTCAAAAAGTTGTGTGGCTGGGGAGCAGGCAGTGTGGCGTTTCTAGTGTCCAAAAGTACCAAATGCCATTTCTGAAAGGCTGAAGTTATTAATAAAGCAACAGTCACAAAACGCAGTTCAATGTGGGCAGAGCTTCAGTCTGACTACAATGATGGATGATATTGTAGTCCACACGTTGAATGAGCATGTATGTGGGTATTTTGTGGTACTGATCAGCTGAGGAGCAAGTTTTTTATCACTCTGGGAGGTTTTCAGTGTTAAAGTTAATCATGTGAGTCAGCGTGCACCGTCCCGTCTTAAACACAACAGATATCACCCAAACAGAAAACCCAAACCTGGTGTAACAAACGCTAGGAACCCAAACAGAAAACCCAAACCTGGTG